TAATCACTTTTATTTTCTTTTTTTAATTAATTGATCTGGAGAATGAAAAACTACTGCATAAATATATATATATATATATATATATATATATAATAATAAGTTAAAATGGAAGGAGTATCTGGAGAATGAAACTACTGCATAACTTTAAGGTTAAGATTTATTGTTTTTATAAGAACAGTTGTTACCTTTTATTCATATTTATTATCGAAAAGAAACGTATATTCATCGCTTATTATATGAAAATAAAAGTCAACAAGAACAAATAAGATGTCACTTTCCTATAAATTATAATGCTTAAGACTATTTTTTTTTCTCGAAGCACAAATATCATATTTTTAAATTCAGTGAAAATTAAATGATCTTTAAAACAGTTGCATTCTAATTAAAAACTCTCTTCGTAGAGTTACGGAGGAACAAACAAGAGCTTGATCACTATGTTAAGCAAGTTATATTAAGAAAAGAGAATAAGTTTAAACCTTGAAGAAGATCCTCCTTCCATTTTAAATTAACTTTCATTTTAACCAAAAAAAAAAATTAACTGATGTTTTAAGATTTTAATGAAACATTAATATTTTTTAATATAACAAGTCAAATTTTTAACAAATAAAAAGAATAAATAATAAAGACAGTCTAGTAAAATTATTTTAATAATTAAAATATTTATTATTTTCCTTAATTTTTGTTAAAAAAAGGGTATGATGCTAACATTTCTTGTGAGTATATATATATATAAAGCTAGCTTATCCTTTTGTTCTTCAAAAGACAAATAATGCTGATCCTATAAATATATTGACAAATTGCAAGTTTGTAACATTCAAAGTCGCATTCACATGGCACATATAGTATAGATTCCCTCCCAAAGAGCTTGAAATTTAATACTAAGTTTATTGGGTCCATCATTTTCATTTATTCGTCTGCTGTAGTATGAAGTCTTCACACGCAAATTACGGTGTATCCGTATACATGCATGACCAAAGTAGTAGAAAAGAAAAGCACATGAAACTACTTTAATTTCAGTACATGCACCTTCATCTCCTCAAAAACATCTCATCCATCTTTATCAACTCCAAAAGAAAAAGGGAAAAGGCGAAGAGAGAAAGACAATATAGACTCCATTTCTCTATATACGAGATATTTTAAAGTATGGCATTGAAGAAAGACAAAAAGAAAAAAAGGATAAAATATTTAAACAAGTGTATTGTTTTATTTATCTAAATTAAAATACTTGATAAATTTATCTTATTTTAAATTATATTTATCTAGAATATAAAATGTATGAAATGAGAGAAGAAAGATCCTCTTCATTCTTTTTTATTTTAAAAATGGTAAGTGAAATAGATGAAAGAATCATCAATCTCATTGAATATCATATTAATTACTACTTTGACTGTGAGTTTGCACATAGCGCACACACACAAAAAATGTCAAATGTTTATTGTAGGAAAAATTCAAGCCAAATTTTAACCTAAAAGCCTTTAAATACATAATTTATTTAAACACTTATTAATAAGTACTTTTAAATTTATAATTCATGTCATAAATTTAACAACAAAATCAGTAAAATAAGTTAAAAATAATTTATAAAAATTATAAGCTACTATTCATACATACTCACAAACTCTTTCAAACAGACTAAGTATCTTGGAGTTGAATTGATTTAAAATAGTCAAAGTCTTGAATTTTATTGCCCCAACTGATTCTTACAACTATCATTAAGAGTTAGGACAATTTTGTAGCAGTTGTAGGGCATATCTATGAAACCAGAAATGTACCATATTGGATGGAATTTGAGAGATTTCAAAGATATAGTTAAGATCATTGAATGGTGAAATGGTGGCACCCTGTGGTCATTTTGAGTTGATGAACGAAACACAATACCCCACCATAATTAATCTTTGATTTTATAATGGTGCAAAATAATTGCACGATACCTTGGGTGAAGCAGATGCTTTGGGTCCCATGCATGAATGAAAAAGGAAAACTTCTAGAATTAAAGTGCAAAAGCTCTTGTTATAAGTGGATGATTTTTGCTACCAAGCTAGGAAATCTCTCGAGTTCTACACTATTTTTGTCTAAGTAATCATTTATGCTTTTCAAAGCATACCATTGAGTATGTTCAAATTTGTGTGTATATTTTATTCAGATTAATTAGAAGATGGTGATGGCATCGATATACAATGCTTAATTTGGCTGCATTTGAGTAGCCATTATATAAAATTATGAGACAATCGAGCAATTTCGAAGCAACTGCCTTAAATTAATTTACAATCATTTCTTTTATTTTTTCAGAAAGGAAACTGAATAAAAGGACTGCTCCAGTACCTGTGAGAGGTAACCCAGCTTGTAACTTCATGTCATTTATGATACACAACAAGATAGCTGAATTATTACACTAAAGATCACTTTATAAAATGAAAATGTTGATGAATTGTTGTTTGATAATATGATTATTAAGTTATTTTATATTATTTTTTATCATGTATATTAAATTTTATGTAAATTTAAATATAAATATTTGTTTATATGAGAAGAAAGATTTTGTATGATTAAAAAAGATTAATGGAATATCTAATATAATATTCAAATAACAGTGGTACTAAAATATGCGGCTAATATGTCCATTACAAAATGCCCACAGATGGTGAATGCTAACACAAATGGTTAGGCTTCCATGGAAATTGAGGTGGACCTCAATCTCTAGTGGTAAATATTTGTTGTTTTATGATCAATTATTTTCACAAATTTAGTGAAACCAAATTAGATACCGTAATTTATGTGACACGCAATAGTAACTCCAAAACTATGTTAGTATCCTTTGAAGTCTAGGGCTTGTCCTTTTTATGTATATAATACCCACATCATCAAGATTGTATTATTGATACAAACATTAATCACTAGTTTAAAAAGTGCATGAATAAACAAAATACCTATCTCTCCGTATAGCATTTGTATTACATTATTGATTATTTATGTCCATTATTAATCTGAGCTAAGATGAATAAAATTAATTCTCTTACTAATCATGTTCTGTTAAGTGATGATAAAGTGCTGATGCAGAATAAAGTGTTGCTTTATTGGTTAAATACATGTGAAAAGAAAAATAAATTAGATTAAATTTTCGTCCTCTTAAGCAGTACATTTCAGTTTTGGTCCTTGATACTTTTTTTTTTCTTTCTAATTAATACTTAATTGAAATGTTCATAATTGCTCATTGACATTGATGAATCTATATTAAAATGTTGAGTTATTTGACAAAGATTAACGTCAACACCCCCTCATTAATTGGTTGCAGCAGTATGAAAGCAAAGTAAGATTTTAAAAAATAATTATAACACTTTATTTTGTCTCCATTTTTTTAAATACTAATTTCATTTTTAAAATAATTTAAATAAGTAATAATAATAATAAATTTATTAAAAATGTTTATAATATTTTTTAAAATATTATTTTAACTATTTAAAGCCTGCCTAATTCAGTTCAACAATTTTTTAAAAACAATTTAAATGACTGAATTTCAAAACAAGAACTTTGAACTAGGATACTTTTTTTTCTTTTATACTTTGATTGAGAGTTAATTTTTTTTAAATGTAAAAACTTAAGAGCATGTTTTATTTCTATTTTAAAAATATTTTTTGTATTTTTAAAAATAAAATGTAACAATAAATTTATATTAATTTTATGAATTTTGTTATTTTCAATCCTTAAAGTTGAACTTAAGCATCTACAAATAAGAAAATTTATGAAAAAAATATACAGTTATTGTATTAAAGTTATAAAAATATTAAAAATATAATAAATACTTTTTTTTAATAAAATTTTACTATTATTAATTACTTATCTTCAGTCTTAAGAGTTAAAATTAATAAAATTATATTTTATTTTTAAAAATAAAACTATTTTTAAAACAAAAATTAAACATGCTCTAATTCTTATTTATAAGTTTTTAGGTTAAAAAGAAATTATAAATCTTTCAGAACTCTTTTAATTTCATATTTTTAATTCTTTTGTAATTTTTTTCCTTTTCTTCCTTCCTATTTATCTCCTACTCCAAATTTCCCAACACAGCCTTAATAAATACTTTTTAAAGTTTAAGAAACATCTCTCAATCAATAAATATATGGCCTTTAAAGGAGTTGAAAAATAGAATAAGTCCTTAAATAGGAGCATAGAAAAATAGAATTCAGAGAGACAAGTAGGCTCATTGATTCATTCACAAGTGTGTGTGTATGTAAGAAAAGTGATATCATAAGCAGTAAAAGCATGTGTGTCCCACTTCCACAAACCCACTCAAACCCCCTCTCATTGGTCTGTTTCCAGCAGGGGCCATGGCATGGGACGGTGACTCCATCCCTTCACTCTCCTCTCTAAATATTTCAAATCCGTTCACATCCATGTTCATTTTTCTTTTTTTTTATCAAATTTAAAATTGAAAAATCTAAAATTTTACTTAAATAAATTATTTTATAGAAAAATTACTTTATTTCAACATATAATATATTTTAAAATAGAAAAATAAATTTATATAAGATAATTTAATAAATTTATTAATATCCATTCTATTAAAATTTATTAGACCATGTAAACATTAAATTTGACAAGTACTCTGCACGGACAGACTGCAGATGTAGGACTCTCTCTTTTTAGTTTTTAGCAAGATTTATGATTTAAACAGTGTGCACAAAAAATCTTGAATGTAAGAGTTAATCAATCATGTTATGAATATTTATTTCTTGAATAAAATACCCCATAATCTGCGAAGAGGAAACCATAATATTTTTCCATGCAATTATAAGCTTTCTATTGATCAATATCTTTAAAATGTTAGTTAACAAACAAACAATTTTTACTACATAATATGTTAATAATGTATTAAAAATTTAAAAAGTGTAATATTATACTTTCTATAAGAATTATCTATTTTCTTTTATTACCGGTATTTGGCTATTTGCCATTACTATAAACTAATATTTTCTTGTGCCAATCACGTTATCCCATATATACTCTTTCTGAATACACTCACTTCATATCTCTTCTCTTCAGTAGTTTCCAATTTGCGTACACAGATCCATACTCACACACTCCCACCTGAGAGATTTTCCATTCTCACCAGTTAGCAACATCCTTTTCCTTTATACAAAGTTAATCAAGTTCACAGCTTTTTTGTTGTTTCTGAAACACTACCTCGATTCTCGAACTGGGTCATCCTCTGATTGTGGATTGGAGCCACACACCAAGATTCTACTTTGACTTTCAAGGGAAAGGCAAGTAAAAGCTCATCATCTTCTATATCCATATGTGTTTTCCGTTATGGCCCTTGCAAATATTTTTTTGAATTTTTTTTTTCAATATTTTTCTCTTTGAATTCTTGTTTGTTTTTTAGTGCTGGTGTGTGATTTGAAGGAGAATTTTTTAAAATTTTTGGATTTCTGTGACGCTTCCTGGGTCATTGTGCCTGTGCTTTCCCTGTTTCCCTCCCTTGGATTCCGCTGATAGTGTTTCTGTGCAGAAAAACAGATAAAGTTGGTAGCTTTATTGGAATCTGATGAAATTTGGCACTACCTTTATTGTTCTTTCTAGTTTTTAAGCTTGGCAAATTCTGGGTATTTTAGTATTTTGCTGTAAAGTTTCAATTTGGGGCTTCTGCTTATATTTTTTGCTCCACTTGAGTTTTGTGAGTTGCCTTCTCAACGCTTTGGAAGAACTCAAGTTCAAGTTTCCTACTTCTGTCTCACGTTTTGGGGTTGAGTGTTGCCTTTCCTTCCTTTTCTTTTTCCTTTTTATGTTATTTTACATGATGTAAAGCTTGTTTCTATTTTTGGATCTGCTTAAGACTAGGTTTCTAGGGCAGCTTGTTCAAGCTTGTGTTTTGTTTAGCTTGGTACTGAGTTAGTGAAATTTATGTTCTTTTAATTCTAGGTTTTGTAGCTGTTGTTGTTGCTGCTGCTAGTACTAGGTTGTTCAGCTAATTTTGATTTAGCACGTTTCTGGCTGTGGAATTTAGGTTCTAAGAATCATGTGTGTCTTACGACTTAGTTTTGAAGTTTTCCTTGAACTTGAGTTGTTCAAGCTTGCGTTTTGTTGAGTGAATTTTCTGTTCTTCTGTTTGTACTAGGTTGTTTAGCTGGTTTTTTGTGCTGACACATGTTTGTTAGGGGTTAAAGTTCTTAGAATCATCTGTGTCTTATGCCATAGTTTTGATGTCTGACTTGAATTTTGGGTGAATTGACCTTTTTGTAGCTCTTGGTGCTTTGCCAGGTTCCCAGTTACTGTGATATCATCATGGATTCCCCACAATCTGTAGTGTCACCCTTCAGAAGCTCGGTCTTGGGTGAGGGTGAGAAGCACAAATCTGATGTGTACACAGGAAATTCCAGTCCCTTGTCCAAGGACATTGAAGTTAATGGGAAAGAAGCTGTTATGTCAAATGTTGAAGAGTTCCTTGGAGTGCTTGATGTTTTCATTCATCAGGCTAGGGACATTCAAAACATTTGTATATACCACAAGCAAGATGTTTATGCTAAGATTTGCCTAACAAGTAACCCCGAGACTACTGTGGCTACCAAGACTATCAATGGAGGAGGAAGAAACCCTGTGTTTAATGAGAACCTTCGCGTGAATGTTAGGACTGTTGATGCTTCTCTCAAGTGTGAGATATGGATGCTGAGTAGGGTGAAGAATTATCTTGAAGACCAGTTGCTTGGTTTTGCTTTGGTACCTTTGTCTGAAGTACTAGTCCAGAATGGGAAACTAGAGAAAGAGTTCTCTCTTTCTTCAACTGATCTATTCCATTCTCCTGCAGGTTTTGTTCAGTTGTCCCTTTCTTACACTGGTGCTTCACCTGATGTTATGGCAATTTCTGCAATGCCAACCAAGGTGGCTACAGATGCCACTGTGCAAGACTCGGAAACTTCTGAGTCATTGGCAAGGGATTTGGATAAGATTGAGTTCCCTGATCCTAAGATTGTGAATGAAGACCACTTGATGGTTTCAGAATACTTTGGCATTCCATGTGAAGAGACTCAGTGTTCTGATAGCTTGGCAACTTCTGATGCCGAAAATCATAGTTCTGAAGCCGGTGTTCGTCTTGTGGAAAGCTTCTCGGCATGCAGTGTTGAGTCTGTTCAGCCCCCTAAGGTTGATTCTCCACCTAGCAGTGTGTCAACAAATGGAGTTTCTTCTCCTTCTATGCCTGCAAGCTCAGAATCATCTGATGCTGCTGCTGCTGCTGATACTTCTAAGTCTCCTAATCAGGAACAAGTTTCAGGCACCAAAGAGGAAAAAAATGTGGATGTGAAAGATGGTGAGAGTGATTCCTCAAGTGGTGTTCCAAGTGACTCATTCCCTAAGCCTGTTGTGACTGTGAACATTGAGCCAGAACCAAAGGTGGTGCAGCAAGATATAGTAGACATGTACATGAAAAGCATGCAGCAATTTACTGAGTCTTTAGCAAAAATGAAGCTTCCTATGGACATTGAAAGTGAACCTACTAGTTCAGGAAATTCAACCACTGAGCAGAAACTACAGCCATCGAAGAACAATAACTCCCGTGTGTTTTATGGCAGCAGAGCTTTCTTCTGATCTTTGCTTCCCTTGTTCAAGGGAATACAGAGCAAGCCACTGTAGATGTTAGAAGAAAACTGATATTAGTAGTGAAATGAAATAATGTACTATCCAGTGTGGTTTCCCCTTCTGTACTTCATCACATGTTGTAGGTTACAGGGAATATAACTTTGTACTCACAAGCTTGTTGCTATCTTAACCGCTACATGAACTTTTGTGTTACCTTCTTCCTTTGTCGTTCTTCTGATTTGAATGTCAATAATTGTGAAATTGGATTTCATCTCACAGCTTATTAATCATGTGTATAATTAGTAACCAATAGTGATAATGTGGTCCCATGTTCACATGGTGAAAGCCGAAGACTTTGTTCTCTTCTGTATTTCATGAAAGAGCTAACACCATACAGGATAATGGATCTTTTTCTTTTGTCATCCCTTATTTCTTTGTCCCAGTTCAACAATTTTTTGGAATGGTCATGTTTATTCTTAGTTAATTTGAAATGCTCTATTAAAATGTAATTTTATGAGATAATCAGAAATGGTGGTGTATGAGCTTCCATCTTGTAAGAAATTCAAATTTACTAGACCAACTTCTGAACTCTTTCAAATGTATTACACAACATCAGTACATGACATATTCATGGTGGAATTATACACACTGATAAGAGAAAAAAATGAAAAACACAGAAGAAACTTGCAAACTAAAGGTCCTAGTGCTACTATATAAGGATTTCTGTTGTTTCAAACTGGCACTTCAATTATTTCTGCAGATCTGGCATAAATATGCCTCTTACAGATCCATGCAATTTGACCATTGTCCCTGTACCTTACTCTCCAAAGTCCAAACTTGTCTGCAATATCTTTCCCGGAGGAGCACCTCCTTTCCCTTAAGAAATCAACAACCCATTGCTGTGCTGCTCTTAGGTCTTGTTGAATGTCCCTTGAACCTTCCATGGACCTGTTTCTACGACCCATGGCAGCAGCCCCTGCAACCCCCGCTGCAGTTGCCCCAGCTGCACCGTAGAGAAGTGAAGAGCCAGCCAAATGAGCCACTTCCTTGCTCAAGTCTGGTATCATTTCCCCCATCCCAGCTGCAAGATGAGCTCCTATTTTAAGAGCTAAAGTTACCAATGTCATGAATTTCTTCATGTATGGAGCCAAGGACTTCACGGCGACGTTATCAACTTGCATGATTTCGCAACCCATTTGATCTTCAACAACATGCATTTGTCCCCGGAACTCACATAACATGTGAAGCCGGAGAGCAGTCATGCCGGAAAGCATGGCAGTGACTAGTCTCCTCGTGTAGTTTTCTGTCTTTACAAAATAGAACATGTTGGGGACTTTCCTCTCCTCCACCTGGACATTGAAGGTTGCTAGGTGGTTCACTTTGCGATGAAGCTCAAGGAGGAGTCTGTGTTCATAATACCTCAGCCCCTGGATTTCCTGTTTCAAGTCTCTGATTTCTTGTTCAATTATCTTGAGTCTCTGTAAAACTGCTTCAACCCCTTTTGCAATGCCACCAAAGCTTGGTTCAACCTTTTCAGCTTCATCACTTAAGGTTATAGATTGACCTTGCCCTTCAGGGTTATTTTCAGGTGGAACATGCAGCTCTTGAGCAAGATTGTGCAGGTCATGATACCTTCGATGCAGCACTTCACGGAAGTCATCATCTGATAAAAGGTCTCGTGCAAAATCAAATCCATCGTGGAGAATAGGCCTACCAGACTCTAGGACTGGACTCCATGTGTGTTGATAGTCATACATGCCATCTGCTGGTAGTGAAAGTAGTGCTTGTTTCAGTTGCTGCAGGGAAGCAAATTGAGTTCTTCTGTATCTAGGGGGTGTCAAATTTCTCACACACTCAGGTCTAATGACATTCTCAGTCAAGGTGATCCCATTGCAAACGCTTTGGATTGCAGGGATTATAAGTTGATGAATGACTCTTAAAGTTTCTGTCAAGTTTTTGGTGGAGCATGCAAGGATATCAATGTAGTAACCCAACTGTCCTCCAAGTTCTACTCTTACATAGATTCCATTGATGCTGATTGTAATAAGATACTTCTCAAGACTGTAAGTTGCACCATGTTGATTCTGTAGAGCCTTTATTCTGTTGTGAAGGTGCACCTGCAACACCACATGAGAAAATTCAATCAGAATATTTTAATTGGAAAAATTCCAAATATCTTAGATATAGTAGCTTTAAAAACTTGTGAGTGAAGATCAGACTATAAACAATTTGAAGAAATGGGTATACAGATAGCATCTTAGTAGTGAAATTGTGCATGGAGTGTTTTAACAACGAAATAAAGCACAAATATTCTAATTTTGTTTCTGAACTATATATGTTTTTGCATTTGAGTTAGGTTATCCATCCTCAGAAAGATAACACACGCTGGATAAACTTTGAGATATTAAGTGGAGGGAATAATTTTAGGTAAAAAAAGTTGCAAGAAACAATTGTGAACTGTAAAACTGAAATGAACAAGATGATTGTATTGTGAACTGTAAAACTGAAATGAAATTTTTGCCTGTAAACGAGGGAAGAATCCTGGAGTTAGAAACATGTGGCTTGAATCATCACATTCAAGATGACGTCCTGCGTAAACGCAATCTGGTGTGCTTAGCTGCCACCTCTGAGGCTTTCCTCTTCCTTCTTCAAGAATGGAGGGAATCAATAGTAGAGAATTTGGATCTGATGGATCTTGCTCATAACAAAGTTCAAGTTTTAGCATCATCCTCACAAGGTCACTAGCATCTAAGTTCTCAAACACCTTTGAACCCATACCAGGAATAGGGCTTTGCAAACTTCCTCTCAAGATTTTTTCCAGTTCCTTTCTGCTAATAAATCCATGGTTTTCTGAGGCGTGTTGCTTTCTAACATTCAATTTTATGAGCTGACCAAGTGCCTCACCACAGAACCACTCACAATCTAAAATTAGAAACCCCAACTCATCAAAATATATCACCTCACCAATGTGATGAAGACAAGTTGCAACAGCTCTTCTCCTCATTTCCACCTTCTCTTTGTTATCATGTCTTGATCGAATTCTCAAAAGTGGGACTTTTACTTGGCATAGCTCACCAAACTCCTTCCACTTCATTGCTGGCTTGTTGTGGTTCTCTGACCTCCAGTCTGATAACATCTGTATTAGATCATTGCAAAGTTGATAAACCCGTGGCACTCTTTGGAGAATTGTCTTGCTTGTCTTTCGGATATGATGAGTGAGTTTACCAACTGATGCTGATGATCTTGCATCAACTGTGAATACAGTTGGGTAGAAATCAACAAAGCCTTGGAACTTGTCTCTCAGTCTCTGGATTGAATCTACTGTGTGCTGCAAATTTTGTGATGGTTGGTTGATTTTGTCAAAGTGTGTGAGAACAACAGCTACACTTGGTAGCATGCATTGTTGTACTGCTCTTTTGGAGTTGGAAACTATGAACCTGAGCCAATATTGCAGGTCCTCTTCAATTTCTGCTGTGCTTTTTGGTTCTTTGTTACTTGGTTTCCTGAATAAACTTGATATGATGATGAAAAATGATGCACTCCCGTGCCCTGGGAACATGAGATCATGGAGGGAGAAAAACTCATGCTGACCAGCAAGATTCCATATTGAAATCTTTGTATCCTCATCCTTGAAAGTTTTAATCTTCATTCCCGCTGTTTTTACAACCTGCTCCACTGGGTTCACTATTGTTCTGACTTGATCCAAGTAGGGAACTGCCGAAGCAGAGAAGTTTTGTGATATTGAATGACAAAGTGTGGATTTGCCTGAAAAATATGAATTGAAATCATGAACTATGCTTTCAAGTTGATTTGTTGTTATTTTGTGTTTATATGAAAAGAATGGAGCTTAATTTTGTTTCATGATTTTATTTTACTTGCATAGTTTTGAGATGGTGTGTCATGAAATTAATCAATAGTAAATAAAACACTATAGATCAATAATTATACTCAACCTTACCTGCACATTCTTGACCACAGAAGAAAACTCTGCAACTCTTAGGCTCAGTTAGTGGCATGTCCTTGAGCAAATCCATTTCTGGTTCACTCTTCTCATTCTGGCCCAATCTTTGATAAATTCCCTGGGTCTTTCCAGAGTTATGTAAAGGTGTTCTGGAGAGATCAATGTCTTCAATCCAAGGATTAATCTGCAGTGTCTCCATAATTGTCTGCAGCAATGTCTCTCCCTGAACACCTTTGCAGCCTTGTAGAGAGAAACTTTTCAAGCTAGCATTCTTCTCCAAACTCTTGAAGATTTTAACAAAGTCATCTGATCTCAAACTCTCATCATCATGAATTCCTAACTGCCTCACTGTCTCATTGGTTATAAGAAACTGTATAATAGCAGATAGACCATCCCTTTTTATTCTTGTTCTTCCTCCTCCAAAAGTAACACACTTCAAAGTAGTGTTGGCTTGCATTTGCAGTGCTGAAAATCTACTCAAAGGGCATAGTAGATGCTCCACACCTATTCCACTAAACCAATTTCCTGTTAGATGTAAAGTTTGCAGACTATGGTTCTTAAAGAGTCCAGCTGCAACATACACAATGCCCTTGTCTTTAAGGCATGTTCTTGACAAATTGACCTCTTTGAGGGTCTGGTTTTGTTCTAAAACCCATCTAAATTCCTTAGCACACCGTGACTTTAGCTTGACTCCAGTCATGTCAAGTGACTTTACCGTGAAGTTCATTCCTAATGAGCAAGTAACCCTGCAAGTACCTGAGAGGTTAAGCTTGTAAATTCTAAGTGTGTTGTTCTCAGGTACAAACTCAACCACCTTGGAACTTCTCTCCCCATTTTCTCCACTCCAAACATGAACTTCCATACTCCTATTCCTTGCCAAAACTGCAGATATAAGAGGGGTGGCTGTGATGGCATTTGAGTCAAAAATTGTCAACAGTTTAAGAGTTGAGTTGACCTCAATCATCTTCGAAAGCTCCTCAGCACCTCTTGACCCTATTGAATCTTCCCATATTTGCAACTCCTCCAAACTATTATTAATCATAAGAGCAGAAGCAATGAGTCCAGCTCCAACTGATCCAATTCTTGACTCTGAAAGCATAATCTCTCTGATCACTTTATTTGCCTTCAGAATGTCAGAAAGATCAGATAAACTTTTTCCATTGAATCTGTTTCTTCTAAAAACAACTTGCTCTATATTTTGGTTATTCCCTAGCAAGATACCAAGATTTTTTACCTGTGTTGAATCCCATTCAACTCTGTGGAACTCCAAGTTTCTCAAAGTGGTTTTGGTGTTCTTTGGTGCTGCT